GACATCGGGGTTGGGGGAAAACTAAGAAAAGAGGAGATAAATAATTTATACTGCATTGAAACAGATGAGGGAGAGAACTGTTTAAAAGAGATATGATTAGGTACTGTTGTCATGACAAGAGTCCAGAATGAAGGTTGTATAATGGAGTGGATCTGGGAAGGAGGGATTGTATAACAATGAAACAAATTTCTTTTTTTTTTTTTTACTTTTCAAAGAGATGATCAAACTGGGGGGAGAGGTAGGCAGGGAGGAAAGTGTGCAACAATGAATGAATGGAAATCCAAAGTCTCTGTAAACTTTCATTATAATTAATTATAAAAACACAAACACAAGTCTGTAAATAAATCAGTTTAAGTTTAAAACCAAACAAACAAAAAGAAAAAGCCAGATTTCAAATCCACTTGGCTTCCCTGGGTCCATGGAGAATGCTGATTGAGATAACATCTTTATTTGTAGAAAACCTTGACATATTTAGAAGCTTTTCTAAGAGAAGAGACACATTTTTTTTGTTGTTGTTACATAAATATATGTATTCACATACAACAAACATACACATATATAGAGCTCTGATGGCCTAGTGGCTAGAAGCTGTACTGCAATCCCAAAGGCATGTGGCTTAAATCCACCAGCTGCTCCTTGGAAGAAAGGTGGGCAATCTCCTCCTGTTCAATTAACGGTCTCTGAAAACTTGCCTGAAGGTCAGCTGTGGTTTGGTTTTGACCCAGCAGTACACAACAACAATATATCTATATCTAACCTATATCTCTACATCTACGTCTCTATCTATATCTATCTCTGTTGTTTGCCATGAAATCAGAGCATGGCTGATGCTCCAGTGAGATTTCAAAGACGTGAGATTGCCCATCCTTCTCCTGCAGAGCAGGAGTCCAGTGGACTCATAAATGACTCTCCAGGAGGTTTTCAGAGCCTGTAAATCTCACTAGAAGAGATTGCTTATCTTTCTCCCAACTCCTTACCCATCAGATCATCATCAATATCAATACACACACACACACACACACACACACACACACACACACACACTCACACTCTTTATAATAATCTGAGTGAATGTTTACAAAGCAGATTGATGTTCCATACAACACTGCATACACACTTTATGACATTGGTTACAGTCCCCTCCTTGGACCCTCCCACTCTGCAATCCGTGTTTCCGTTGATCCCTCCAACCTCTCTGAGGTGTATCCTGGGTACATGTTGTCCTTGTGACCTATGTGGTCGAGGTTCTGAGAACTGGGGGCCTCCCTGGTGTGATGGTTTGTCTTAATACACCTCTTTTTTGGCTGAAGGCTGTGCCACAGGGGTGAGCTCAGTTGCAGGCTCAAAGGGCATATAAGGGCCAAGGTCCTAGGATTCCGCAGATCTCTCAGGCCAGTAAGCCTGGCTATTACTGTGATTTTGAGTTTTGTTACATATTTACTTCCCACTCTCCAGGACCTTTTACTGTGATCCTTTCAGAGTGATCAGCCTGCTTCCATGTGTCTTTATTTCCCTCACTCTTTTTTGCTCCAGACAGGGAAATACCAATAGTTTGCACCTTTGATGGCCCATCACAAGCTCCAAGTCCCCAGTTTCTACTCATCTTTGTGGCCCCCAGCTGAGGTCACGCCACACTGGCTGTAGCAGAGAGCCTGTCCAGACTCCTGAGCTTTGGAGACTTAGCTGATCCCTCTGCTGTCCCTGAGATGTGTTTTATCACTATAAGGGGCCAGCAAGATGGGCAGAGATGGGTTCTGTCAAAAGAGCACGGGCAGTATGATAACAGCTGTGTCTCACCTCTGCTGACTCCACAAACGGGGAACTGTCCCCGTTGACAACACCCACAGTACAAAATCAATTCTATAGAGTCAGATGTGGCCTCCCAATCTCGTGTACCTACTTCTACTAATTCCAATGCCAGTCTTACTGCTCTACTGGGTCCAAAGTCCATCACAATGTTCACACAATGTCTCATAATATTGTGCTCCTGGTTATGGGGTTTATTGAGGAAGTTATAAATAGCAGGTTACAATTCAGATTGGCAAGAGAATACACTTCCTCGGTAGACAGCTTCTCAAGTTTGGTTGTGGGACCTCTGAGCTTTAGCTTCATGGATAGGTCAGTGTTACTAGTTCCCTTGTCCCATCAGTTATGACGTCCACCCTCGGGCCTCCAGTCTGCCTGGGGGAAGGCCTCTGGCTCTGGCTCTGTGGCAGCAGTCTCAGGGCAGCTTTGTCTGAGCTTGACCTCTGGTTCTCTGACAAGGCTGCTGCTGTTGCTCCTGCAGTTCTGGGTCTGACTGACTGATGCAGGCATTTCTGGCCCTGAAGGACACACACACACACACACACACACACACACACACACACACATACACTCCCTTCTCCCTCTTCCTTGCTGGTAGTGAGACTCCTATCTTCAGTGCTAAATGTGACCAATTTAACTGGTAGGTTTGGTAAAACTGACCAAGCCCATAAAGATTACATTATACACATCTTACTTCCCCACTCATGTGGTGAAAGTCAATGTGGATGACTAGGAAAGCCATTTTTAAACAACGAATTCTGGACACTACAGGTGCCCAGAGGCATTGACCCCTTTAGGGGAGTGTGTGTGGGCCTCAGGTAAGTACAAGGGAGGCCAACTGTTCTATTCTCTGTCCCTCTGGCCACCCTTGGCTTCCTGGACTCCCTGCCCCTGGTCCCTTGCCTTGGTCCTAGCATCTATCAAGGATGGTGGTATTTACAAATTGTCTGTGTCCTCCCCCTGTGATCTGTCAGGACAATTTCCTGTCTGCTGCTCCCCTGCTCCCAAGTCTTTTGGAGGTTTCTGAGCTGAACCTTTGATCTCAGGGCCTCAGAGAGGGCCAGTGGGAGGGGCTGAGGTGGTCTCTAGCACAGGTGGTGTTTGCTTACTGGACTGGGCAGCACCTCTAGGCCTAAGTCAGTCTTGCTCTGGTCCTGTCCTCCTTGTCTGAACCCCTCAACCTCTAACTTAGCCTCTGCTTGATATTGTGGCCCCGCCCTCAGGCCAGAGCCACCCCAGGGCCCTGTTTGCCCCTCCCACCCCACATGAGCAGGTGTATGCCTGTTGGTTCCAGTCTCCTTGGTGACAGTGATTAAGCAGGGGACTGGTCAGGCAGAGCTGCCTGCTCAAGGCCACAGGGACAAGCCAGGGCCAGATGGGCAGATGACCAAGGAAGGTGGCCTTGGAGGACATAATGCCAGTGGGAGGAGGGACAGGAATGGACAGGAAGAAAGGTTCAGCTTGATCTGCAGGAGTCCTTCTAGGGTGCGGGGCATGTTCAGACATGGACTTCCTGTACATGTGATTACCTCAAGGTCACCTGGTCACAGGTCTGCCCTCCCTGCAAAGGTGGTAGCTGGCATGACAGGGAAGACTTTCAGCCTCTTTGGACAAGATGAGGGGCAAGGGATCTGAGAGTTTTGGGGCACAGGGAGGGGCATGACAAGCCTAAAATATTCCAGCCCTGGGCAGAAGTTTCCCCGAGGGCCCCTGAGAATATGTGAGGTACCTTCTCAACACACAGGCATATGGGGGTTTGGGGTCATGCTGGTCACCCCTCCCCATGTGGAACTCTTGTCACCTAGAGATTTAAGAACTTGGCTTTCTGGTCCCTGGAAGACCAATCCTGCCACTGCACTCCTCTCCATTGCTTTGGTAACCCCCACAGGCAGCAGGCTTGAGGCCCAGGCAGGTAGATACCCCCAGGCCCTGGCGAGGGCACAGATCAGCCTTCTCAAATATTTGCTGGATGAGTGCAAGGGGCCTGAGGCTTCAACGGTGTCACAAGCCTGAGCATGTAGGTTTCAGGTTGGGTTCTTGAGTATGTAGCAATCTTATCCAACTGCACTGTCATTAAGCTAATGTCATCTCACAGCAACCCCTGGGCCGAGGAGACCTGCACCTCTATGAGGGTCCAAGGTTGTGAATCTTCAAGGAAGAGGATGGCTTCATCCTTCTCCTGAGGAGCGGCTGGTGGATTCACACCACCTCTGTAAGAAAGTAGTCCAAAGCTCAATCCACTGCCCGCAACTAGACCTTCTCAAGTGGCATGAAAGACAAGGAGAGAAGCCTGGCTGGGCCTGGTTCCTTGGTGCCAGGAAGCCAGTGGCCGCTGGACCCACTCCAGTCCACATTGGGCAAGGCTGTGGGGAGACCCTGGTGCCTTTCTGATCTGGTATCCTCCTCATATACCTCTCCATAGTCTGGGGCAGTCCTGCTTCCTGGGCTTCCAGCCTCCCTGAAGGTCACAGATGAAGATCCAAGACTAGACTGACCTCACAGCCTAGGCAATAACTGCTGTCCCAGGAGACAGGGGGCCAGCGGGGCCTGCCTCCCCATCCTCTCTGTCTTCCAGGACCTCAGAACTTTAAGTTAGCTAGTGCCTCCACCCAGCCCATAGATGGCATTATTGGAGACATCTCCCTGAAGGATTTTAGAGGGTGCTCTCCACAGGGCACCCGTTTTGCTTCAATTCAGGAGCCAGCCCACTTTAATTTTCCTTGGTGGTCCGGAGACTTGAGAAAAGGGAAAACCATTCGTACAAGCGTCAGGCCTCTCCAGAAACAAGAAGGCCCTATCCCAGGCTCTCCGAGCCAGTGACCCCGGGCTCCGCAGCAGGCGTTTAAGGTGGTCACATATTACCTTGCCCATTAGCACCAAGACTTAGATATTGCAGCTGCACTCATGCCTGAGGCATTTGCCTGCCGGCCTTGAAAAGCCTTGGGTCTTCTTTCTGTTCCGGGCCGGTCCGAACTAGCGAGGGCCCTTTAAGGCCCGGGGGCGTGTAGCGGGCCCGCCCCTCACAGCCCCGCCGCCCGTTAAAGGGGCCGCGCCCTCCGCGCTCGCTAGGACCAGCCCAGGGGAGGGTGCCGGAGTCTGGCTGCGGGCCGGCGGGCTGCGATCCGGGCGTGCGTCCGAGCGAGCGCGTGGGTGGCCCGGGGGCGCGGCCCTTTCGCGCGGGAGCCTGGCGCACCATGTACACGATCTCAAAGGGGCCCAGCAAGCTGGTCGCGCAACGCCGCACAGGTAAGCACGGGTGGGCGGGCAGCGATCGTGGGGGGGTGGTCTGCGCGCCCGCGAAAGTCTGCGCACTCGGGCAGTCTGGGACGCAGTGACCGCCTGGAGCTCCGTACGTCGGGGACCCGCGGCCACTGGCGGCTGACACGCACCCTGTACCCGCAGGGCCCCCGCAGCAGCAGGTGGAGAGCAGGCTTAGCGACTTCCTTAAATGCCGGCAACCGGCCCAGCCAACACCACCGCCCCCTCGGGCGCAGCCCTTCGCGCAGCCGCCGGGACCCTGGCCCCAGTTAAGGTGAGACGCGTACCGACCCGCTTCTCCCCTCCTCCGCTGAATGGCTGGCAGGGTGACCTTGGGGAAAGGTTACCAGAGACCGAGCCACATGGCACTGGGCCGGTTGGAGGGCTAGCGGAGGGGCGGGGCGTCCCTGTCCCTGTCCCTGTCCCAGCCCCAGCTGGGTGATTCACCTGGGCACCTCACCTGGACCCTCTTGCTTCCTGTTACGACGCCGGCGTATCCCTACTGGGGAGAAAGCTCACTCGCTCCGAGGGCAGAGTGGTTGGAAAGCGCGGGTCGACCCTCCGCGCGCCTTTGGAGCAGGCAGAACTTGAGGTCAAGGCTGTCTCCTAGGGGGAGGACGTAGAGAACTTTGAGTCTCAAGGTCTCCTGGCTTTGCAGGAACTGCCAGCTGATACTTTAGAGAGGGAGAGGTGCACGTGGTGGCTGCAGCAGCCCAGGCACTGCCCTTTCACCTACACTCCCTGTGAGCCTGCAGTTAGGGCTTCCAGGGCCCGAGAGCCTCTTGAAGCTCAGGCTCGCCCAGTTTGGCCTCTTGGCAGTGACTTGGGGTCAGAATCCTGCCCGAGGAACCTTGTCCTTTCTTGGCATTGTTCCCAAGGCCTTTGTTCTGCACACCTCCTGGGCGGAACACCAGGGCTGAAGCCATGGGCTAGTTAGCTAATACTGGTGGCAGTTCCAGGGTTCCCCAGGTCAGCTGAGATCCTGTAGGAGGAGGGCACCTGGCCATGTGGGCTCCACCCTCTGCCTGCCCACCCAGAGCTCAGGGCATCTGGTTCAGTTCTGGCCTGATAACAGAGGCCCAGGAAAGGGTGGGGGCCGTGAGTCTGGCTCAGCCTATCAGACGGTGTGGAGGTCTACTGCTTCAGGGTACACACTGACATTTCAGATAGATCCTAGTCAGGAAACTAGGGCAAAGGGGAGATGAAGCATTCCCAGAAGGAGGGTCATTGGAGCGAGGGGTCTCCAAGGCTGTGTGATGCTGATATCAGCCCTGGTCCTCACAGCTGCCGATGGCCACCGAGTGGAAGTACTGAGGTACAGGCATCTGGTACTCAGGCTGGGGAAAGGAGGGTGAGTTGAGTTTGCTAAGCTTGGCAGGGGACTTGGAGCTGTCCTGCAGTGGCCCAGGCCCATTCTCCTTTACCTGAGAAATTATAGCCCTTGTTTCCTTTTCTGGTCCCATTGCTGTGCAAGTTGTCTGCTTGGAAAAGACAGGCCCCTGTATCAGTGAAGGGGTGCCGAGGTGGTCAGTGGGAGCCCCTAGTCAGTGATGCCCAAACTTTAGTGAACACCAGAAACCCTGAATTTCAGTGACTCAGTCTGGACAGAGGGGTGCCACTTGAGAGGCTAGACCATTTGATCAGCCCAGGGGTTGTTCCCTCCTCCCCTCATCAGTCTATCTGCCTTCCGTACCAGCAACCTTATGTTAGATTGGCTGGGTGCTCAGGGCCACCCAGGTTCTGTGGGGTCCCTATTATAATTCTGCACCCTTTCCTAGTGGTCTTTTCCAACTACATTTTGAAATTGACTCCCACCCTCATGAACTTGCCCAGGGCTCCCCACTTCCAGCAGGCTAGGCTTGGTTCTGGATTGGGCTGGCATATGTGAGGAGTTGTCCTCTAGTGCCAGGGACAGCTAGAGTAAATGACCACTTCATCAGAGGAGAGAGGGGATGGCCAGGCAGGCTCCCTCCCTTTCCAGCTGATATGCTGACAGGTCGGGGGTGATTCGGCTAGAAGATGTTGAAGGGATCACATGAGACAATCCCCACGTTGGCACCGAGCAGGGCCTGGCTGTGTGGCTCTGCTCTTGGCCCCCCAGGCCCGGAGGGAGCTGTGCCCTTTCTCCCACTGAGTCTTGCCCAGCTGGCTCCCTTATGTAACTGAGGCAAGAGGCAGCCAGGTGCACAGGGGGAGCAGCTTGGGGCCCTTAAGTGTCTGTGTCATCTCCACAACCCCTAGGTGGACCTGTCTTTTTAGTTAAGCAACATCCCTGTGTTTGAAGGCACCCTGGTGGCACACTGGCTAATGCACTTGGCTGCTAAAACAAAGGTTGGTGTATCAAATACACCATTGCCTCTCTGGGAGAAAGCTGGGGCCAGTCTACTCTCTGAAAGGTTTTCAGAGACCCAGCTAAAAAGTTCTGCTCTGTCTGTCCTGCTTGGTTGCTGCAAATCATGAGGGGACTCAGAGGCAGTGGGTTGAATTCTCCAAATTTGAAATCTTCCCGACCTCTACAGTATACAGGGCCCAGGCAGAAGCAGCAGTATTTGTACGTTCAAGTCCCCTGTTCACCCAGGGGGAGCCCTTGTCTCTACAGCCACCAGACCCCTGGGGCACCTGAAGATGCTCCTCTCTGTTTTAGCACCCCTCATCTGAGGAGGAACCCAGAGCGGTTTGCAGTCGCCTGGCGATGGGGCACCTGAGCCCACGAAGGGGAGCCAGCCGGCCGGGGACCTCAAGGGCCAGGCTGAGTGGCGTGCGCAGCCCTGGAGTCCCACTCCCGCCTCCTGCTGTAGGTGTGCCCGCTCCCTCCATGGCCCCTGCCTCCCAGGCTTGCTGTGCCAGCGTGGCTGGCTCCGGCTGACCAGGAATGGTTTGTGGCTTCCTGGACTTGACGGGCTAAGCACCCTGGGATTATTCCCCCAGTCTTGTCTCAGCCACCCTGGGTGTCTGTGTTGTATGTCCTCATAGACCCTGGGGATGGGCTGGAAAAGACAGAGGCCACTTAGCCCCGACTGAGTCCTTCCTGGCACATTGGGAGCATCTATGAGGAGGAGCTCCTATCCCAGGGAGAACTTGGTGGAGAAGGGGCCCCAGTGGGCGGGATAAAAGAGTGGAAGTTGGGTTGATGCTCAATTAATTGGCAGTGGGGTACAATGCAGTGGGCATCAGGAGGACCCCTGGCTGGAGAGAGGGCCACGGGTGTGGTTGAAGTTCTGTACTGGGCTGGGCCTGGCCCTGATTGGGGGACCTGGGGTGTGTGTTTAAGGGGCTCCAGGTCTGAAAGTTGAAGCCCTAAGTGTGGCCTGAGTCTTGTAGGAGACCAACTCCACCCCACGCTCTAAGGGGGCTTATCAGTAAAGTGGCTGGGCTGGGGCATGCAGGAGGCTGCTCAGAGCTCCACCAGGCAGTACCTGAACAGGGCACCCACACCACTCCTTTCCCCCTTACAGCTCAGGGCCGCGACTGGTATTCAACCGGGTGAATGGCCGTCGGCCCCCTGCCAGGTCCCCATCCCTCGAAGGGGTCCAGGAGACCTACACACCGGCCCACGAAGAAAACGTCCGCTTTGTGTCCGAAGGTAGAGAGGGGGCCAAGGCCACCAGGTCCTCCCATACTGTAACCTGACTCTTTTGGCCTGAGGGCTGGGCATCTGGGCCATCAGCCCACTGGTCCTGTGACTGGTGAGCTGACTGCCCACTCCTCATGCGGGGCTGGACTCCAGAGTGGCCACCAGGCCCTGGGGCAGGAGTTGGGGGTGACAAGGGCCTAGTTGGCCTGACTGCTCCCTCCCCACAGCCTGGCAGCAGGTGGAGAAGCAACTGGACGATGGCCTGGCCGGTGACAGTGGGCAAAAACCTGTGCAGTATGAGGAGAGGACACCCAATCCCAAACTACAGAGTGAGTGTCCTGTCTCAGGATGTAGCAATTAGGGAAAGGGTCTTGGGCCGGGTCCTCTTTCTCCCAGTGCCTGCCACTCCTGGGTCAGCTGAGAGGTGAGCCTTGGCAGGACGAGGCACTGACCAAGCTGGGGAGATGTTAGCAGTCACTAGCTCTGTGCTCCCTCCAGACTTTGTGCCCATTGACCTGGATGAGTGGTGGGCTCAGCAGTTCCTGGCTCGGATCACCAACTGCTCCTAGCTGCTGACTCCAGAGCAACATTGCCCGACCAGATTACTGGACCCAGGAGACCCTCGGCGAGAAGAGGACCATGGTGCCCCCGTCCACCGTGGCGGCAGGCCTCTCTGTGCCAGACCTAGTGGGTGCTGGCCACACCTGAAGTGCCAGCATTTGGACTTTAGCACCTTCTGTTCCCTCAGCCTGAATGTCCCAGGCAGCCAGAGGCAGGCCCTGAACTTGTCTGCTGACCTCAATCCTGCCTTCTGTGCCCGCCCCATGGGGTGAGGGAGGCACTCGGGCCAATAAACTTGACAACTTGCCCTTTTGGAGTGGTCTTCATTTGGTGTGTGGAGTGTGTGTGGAAGTGTTAAGCTTCTCCTGAACTCAGGGCCAGCTGAGGTTGCTGTTGCTGCAGGGCCCAGAGCCGACTTGCATGCCGGCCAGTAGCATGCAGGCCCCCTTCCTCTTCCTGATGCCCTTTAACCTGAGCAACCTGAAGCAAGGTTAGGCAACTAGACCTGCAGGACTGAGGCTGGGTCTAGGACCTAACCAGCAAAGACTGCCCTTGAGTTTTGGGGTGGAAGATTGTGTGGAGCCCCAATTTCCCTCACAACCATTGTGTACAGCGGTAGAGCTTCGCCCTTTGGGCAAGATGGCCTCCTCTGTAGGACACTGCAGGAGGGGTCATCAATGGGTGTGAATAGGCTTTTAAGAGGGGTTATAAGCCTCAGCTTCACTTCCTACTTGTAAAGGGCCAAAACTCATTGCCACCGAACCAGCAGATTTCAGAGGCTGTAAATTGCACAGGAGATTGCCTGTCTTGTGGAGCAGCTACAAACTAAGTGAAAAAATTCACTGATTTATGGCAACTCGCAATTGAGTTTCTAAAGCTGTAACTCACATGGGAGGAGACCGCCCTCTGTGGATCAGCTTGGGATTCAAACTACTAACCTTTAAGTAAATAGCCTAACACAAAGTACCCTATACTGCCAAGGCTTCTTAAGGAGTTAGGGATGTCAGCATCTACCCTGGGAGCATCTGTGGAGGAAGTGACTGGACCTGAAAGGGTGGGAGTGATGAGGACACAGGAGACTGCTGATGGCACCTCGCACTGAGATCCGAACTCCACATTTTACAAAGACCCGCAGATGGGACGTGAATGTAGTTTGACGCGCAAGGCATGCCGGACTCGGCGCCGTCACGTGAGCCCTGGGCGCAGCCATGACGACGGAAGTGACGTCCACTGTTGACAGGCGGCCGTTGCCAGGCGCTGTTGCGGGCGTCACGCTGCGTGCCCTACGTGGGGCGCGCGATCGCTGAAGCGGGAAGCGTGAGCTGCCGCGCCATGGCCCGAGGTAGTGGCGCCGGGAGGCCGAGGAGGGGTCGCCTGGAGCCGGGCTGGGGCCAGCTGGGGTTGCGCGGGCAGTGAGCGGTCGAAGTGGTGTGGACAACCGCAGGTGGCCCTGTGGGTGACGGGCTGGACCATGCCTGGGATGGACAGAGGCCTAAGCTTGCAGGACTTGCATGCTGGGACCCAGGTGCTCGTCACCCCCCCCCCCCCCCCAAGTCAGTGCTTGCCCAAGTGACTTCTCCAAGGCTGGCCCGGAGCCCAAGGCTGATTTCCGACCTTGGCTTAACTGGAAGTCCTTGGTTCCTGTTAGTGGGTGAAAGTGTAGCTTTCATAAGCCCTTGATGGGTCTTTGAGTCCCGACACTGTACTTAACCCAATACTTAGTTACTATCACCTCCCTGAGGGAGTTTGTTGCCAGTCGCTCAGATTGGGTCCTGCGCTGCAGTACTCTGCCTGACCTCACTCCTTTCTATCCAAAGTGTGGCAGCAGCCGTTTCTGAATGTCTTCAGACACTTCAAGGTGGATGAATGGAAGCGATCGACCAAGGAGGGTGATGTGACCACAGTGATGGTGTGTGGGAAAGGGCTCCTTCTCCTCAAGCGGGGACTTGGCCATTGTCACCAGTCTGGTGGCATCACGTGGGTACACATTGCTCCTGTGTGCACCTGACCCACTGTGAGTGTTGCTCCTGTGTCTATCAGGACAAGACCCTGAAGAGCACTGTCTTCCGCATCCGGGGATCTGTGTCTGCTGCCAATTACCTCCAGCTTCCCAGAACCAGCACTCAGTCCCTGGGGCTAACTGGCCGGTACTTGTATGTGCTCTTCCGGCCCCTACCTGCCAAACACTTTGTCATCCACCTGGATGTGTCCACTGAGGTATGGCCTGGTATGGGGTGGTGGTGGTGTTGGGGTCTCCGGCATGCTTCCATCTTCTCACTGCCACTTCTTGCCCCTCCTGCAGGACAGCCAGGTCATCCGTATGTCCTTCTCTAACCTCTTAAAGGAGTTCAAGTCCACAGCTACTTGGCTTCAGTTCCCCTTCCTCTGTGAGGCCCGGCCATTAAGGCCAGGTGACATGGGGGAAGGGACCAATGGATTGCAAAGGGTAGAGGGGACCGTGGGCCTGGGGGGGGCAGCCAAGAGTGGAAGGTTCAGTGGAATGGATCTTTCCTTGAAGTGGGGCCCAGATGATGGTCCCACCATGAGATGGGAGACCTGAGGGTGATATGCCCATGAAACAGACACCCTTTCTTATAATGATGGGCTCTGACAGGGGAGCCCCTTCCGTGTCTGGGGGCTCTGATGAGTCACTGTCCACAGACCCTGCAGGCACGGCTCGTCATGGCTCCCACTGGACCTGCCTGCATCTGGACTTGCAGGACATCTTGTTGGTCTACCTGAACCGGCGCTATGGGCACCTCAAGAGTGTCCGTCTCTGTGCCAGCCTGTTGGTCCGGAACCTCTACACCAGTGACCTGTGCTTTGACCCTAGTGAGCCTGTCTCCCAAGCCCCCTCTTCTCCCGTATCACCTTGTTCTCCATCCCCCATCCCTTCTCATCCCCTATACCCTCTTCCTCATCTTCCTTTATCTCCCTGTCCCCTTCACATTGCTATCCCCAATACCTCCTTGTCCACAGTCCCCCCTCACTCCAGGAGGGCCTGGGATTGGGTTGCATCTGAGTTACTGGAGAGTAGAATCTAGGTCAAAGTCACCATTCTCACCCCTAGGACACCCCCAGGTACAGGTTGCTTACATTCCAGTCAGCTCCTGACTTAAGTCTCACCTGGGCCTGGTAGGGAGTCTCCTGACCAGGCAAGGACTCCCCCTCTCCCTATAGCTGTGACTGTAACTGAGGCCCGGCGTGGCAAGCTGAGTGTCACACCCATGCCGAGGGAGATGGCATACCCGGTACCAAAAGGCGAGAGCTGGCATGACCGCTACGTTCACATCAGGTGAGGGCCCTGCCTATCCTGGGAGCCTCCCGAGGGAATGAAGTGGTGACACTGTGTCCAGACACTGACCTCTCATTTGTTATGTGAGGTTTCCAAGCATCAGTCCTGGGGTGCCCTGTGAGCTGGGTTCGAAGAGCCATTCTCTTCCCAAGCCAGGTAATCCTAGACTTAAGTGCAGGTGGGGCTGGAGGTGGGTGAGGGGACACAGAAGCCAGCTTAGGGCAACTGGCTGGTTGGACATCACAGACCAGGTCTGTTTGTAGGGCCACTTGGGTCTCAAGGTTTTAAGGGTGGGCTGGGCCACACTTGTGCTTGGGTCTTGTCCCTGCTTGCTACACTTGTGGGCAGTGGCTTTGGTGGTGACCTCTCACTGACCATGCCTGCTTCTGTCTTGTCACCACTTTAGGCCTCCGGGCACCATTACAGAAGTTCCTTCCACGTGTGGCAGTTGGCAGTGGAGCCCTACGGCACAATGTGTCTGCTTTGGTCCGGACATCCAGCCCTACAGCTGTGAGTGCCCTGTACTCTGCAGCCAGGCTACATGTACAGTGTCAGGGAGCTAATGGACCTATCCTTGCAGTCCCACCGGGCCCCCTTGTTGCCTGCACCCCTCCCAGAGGTCCGCCTGTCTTTGGAGCTGCTGGAGACCCTGGCCCAGGGCGGGGCCGGTGATGGCACCCATGTGTTTGCCTGCACACCAGCTGTGGCACCGGGAGTTTTGGAAGATGTTGGCTTTCAGGAGGTGGGTACCTACAGGAAGGCCCAGTCCCCTACCACACAGGCTCAGCGGGACAGCATCTTGCGGTGTCCCGGGCTGCAGGCAGTACTTGGACAAGCATGTGGCTGGTGGGAGTGGGGTCTAGGGGTTTGGGATGGATGCTGCAGGCTCTGCCTTGGGTAAGGGGGATGGAGGTGTTCTGACCAGGTTCACTGTGAAAAACCCAGAATGGCTGGGGCTCTAGAGTCTTCTAATGCCTCTTCCCATCAGGCTGTGGGCAGAAAGCGGGGCAGACAGGAGGCAGCTCAGAATAAGGGGTCTTCACGTCCGAGAGTAAGTATAGGGGCCTGGGCATTGCACCTCCCTGCTGACTCCCATTGAACCCCATTGTTGAGTCCCACCGAACTCCACTATTGAGTCCCACCTTACCTCATTGCTGAGTCCCACCATACCCCACTGCTGCATCCTACTGTGCCCCATTACTGAGTCCCACTGCACTCCACTGCTGAGTCCCTCAGAGACCCTGGAAATCTGGTGTGGGGATTTTCAGGCTGTGGATGAATCCAGAGCCAAGGTCCGTGCGACCTTAGGCAGGACCCATTCTCATAGGTCACAGCAGCCCCTGGGAAGGGTGCAGGGACAGGTTCCATCCTGCTGGATGCCTACCTGTTGGATTCCTCTGTTGCAGAGTTTCCTGCCGGACCCAGTCCTGCGGCTCAAGGGAGTCATTGGTTTTGGGGGCCACAGCACTAGATGGGTGAGGTGGGCTTCAGAGCCTGTGTGTGTTGGCTTTCCTCATCCCTTAGGCTTTCTGCAGTCCTCATATGCCACCTAACCATGCCCACACGGCTGCTCACAGCCCTGTGCCTCAGCCATGCTGGCTTCAGGCTCCGTCTGTCCATCCAGCAGATGTCACAGGCCCTCACTTGCTTGGAGTCCTAGCCCAAGTCTCTTGAACTTCCAGGACTTGAGGTTATTTGCTCAGTCCTCATTTTTAATACCTGGTCACGTGCTGTCCAGCTGTACTCCTGCTTCCCACTTGTGGACATTGTGTAAACGTGTTTTGTGAGGCCCTGCCAAGCTGCAGCACAGAGCAGTCACGGAGAAGGCAGTGTTTGCCTCTGGTCTCCACTAGTGGCTATTCCTGGGCGCTTGGACACAGGCCTTATCTTCAGGAGAGCTCCCTAGTCTTCTGCTGCCTGGACTCTGGAGAGTTCTGATTTGAAGATAGGGCTGTGAATTGACGTGCTTGTGTGTTTTAGCTGTCTACTGAGTGTGACCTGAGGAGTGTGTGTTGGTGTGCGCGTGGACCTGCCACTCTGTAGTCTTGTGTTTTAGCTGTCATTCTTGAATGACGTGCAACCAGAGTGCTGCTTAAAGGCAAGAAGGTGAAACTTCGTCTCACATACTCTGGGCATATTATCAGGAGGGGCCAGTCCCTGGCAAAAGACATCATCCTTGGAAAGGTGGAGTGTCAGAGAGGAAGACCCTCAACAAGATGGACCAATTAACAGTGGGCGGGAGCACGTATGTCCTAGATGGGGAGGGTGGTGCAGGATAAGGGCAGAGCTCTGGTCTTTTGTTCGTTAGCGTTGTCATGGCATATAACAACATCAGTGACACCTCCATCCTGCTGTGTGTGACATGAGGTGTGCACATGCGTGTGGATAGGAGTCTGTGTGTGTAAGTTATATTCTTGTGCATGTGGGGACGTATTTGTTTTTTTTTAAATTTTT